TTTTGTTAAAAAAAGCGGCAAATTTTTGGTTTTCACAGCAAATTAGCGGCAAAAAAACGGCAAATTTCTATTCATTCAATTTTTCACTACCGACATTTTAAGTGATAATGTCTCGCTAACTTGACGTCAAGTTAGCGAAACAAATGATTTTTTTTTCAAACTTGATTTTTGATGAAAAAAAAAAAACGGCAAATTTTTGATTTTCACAACTAATTAGCGGCAAAAAAACGGCAAATTTTCACGTACCTAGTTTTTTAGTGCTGACATATTTAGTGATGTTGTCTCGCTATCTTGACGTCAAGTTAGCAAAACACGTAATTAAGAAAAAACTAAAAGAGCGGCAAATTTTTTAATTCCACATTTAATTAGCGGCAAAAAAGCGGCAAATTCTTGGCATAATGGAAAATCGATTTTTCGAAGTTGTCTCGCTAAGTTGATAGACATGGTTTTACAGCCTGTCAAAGTTGCAAAAAGTCAATTTTCAACTGTCAATATTTCCGAAACAGTTGACTTATGAAGAATTTTATTACGACTTTAGAAATGCAAACTATAGGGAACTTAATAATTATTTAGCTTCTATTAATTGGCAAGAATATTTAAATATGAGCAATGATGTAAATGCCATAATAAATATTTTTTATGAGATTTTGGCCACTGGTATTGCATATTTTGTCCCAGTAAAAAAATTTAAAACTTCTACATTTCCCAAATGGTTTTCTTCTGATCTTAGAAAATTGACTTGCCAGAAAAGACGTGCACACTCTTTTTACATTAGTAACCGCTCAGATGATAATTATGCAAAATTTTCAGATTTGCGTGTCAAGTGTAAGAGGCTCTCTAATATTTGTTTCTCTAATACATGCGGGGTTTTGATGAGAGACTGAAAGTTGATCCAAAATCATTTTGGAAATTTATCAATGATAAGCGTTCCACTTATTGTCTTCCAAGCTCACTCTTTTATGGGGGGGGGAGGGCTTCAAATGGGCAGGATGTAGCCAATTTATTTGGGAAATTTTTTCAGACTGTATATGTAGCTAACCAGAACTCTCCAGTACTACCTGATTTAACATTGGATAATAACGTAAGTAGCAATATTAAGTGCTCAGAAATAAGTAAGTCTGATATTTTCGATCAGATATGCAGTATTCCCAATAAACTTACATCAGGGCCGGACGGAGTGCCTAATTTCCTCTTGAAAGAGTGTGTTTGCACTATAGTTTTACCATTGTATATCCTTTTTAATAGATCCTTGATTAGTGCTGTGTTCCCGAATGAATGGAAAAAGAGCTATGTGGTTCCTATTTTTAAAAGTGGTCAAAGAGAAAATATTGAAAATCATCGTAGTGTTTGTATTCCATCCGCAATACCAAAGCTCTTTGACTGTCTTGTTGGCAAGCAACTGAGCTGGATGTGTAAAAGTTTAATTTCTGTGGAGCAGCATGGCTTTTGTCAAAATAAATCCACATTGACAAACTTGGTAGGTTACCAGACAAGCATTTTGCATCATATGGAGGGGCAGAAACAAGTAGACTCTATATATACAGACTTTGCTAAGGCTTTCGATAGGGTGGATCACCGGATACTCTTGCAGAAGTTAACCAAGATTGGTTTTCATTCTCATTTTGTTATGTGGATCCCTAGCTCACTGACTGATCGTATCCGACATGCTAAAGTAGGTTGTTATTTTTCTGAGTCAATCTCTGTTATATCGGGTGTCCCGCAGGGCGGCCACTGTTCTCCTCTTCTCTTTAATATTTTTGTTAATGATATAACTGATTGTTTTATAAACAGTGAGTGTGCAAAATTTGCAGATGATTTGAAATTTTGGAGAACGGTGGAGAGCATTGTGGACCAGTTGCTTCTGCAGGAGGATCTGGATCGCTTGTCCATGTGGTGGGTAGAAAATAAGTTATCTCTGAATGTGGATAAATGTTGCTATATTAGTTTTTCAAGGAAAGTAAATAAAATTCAAACTAGTTACTTTATTAACAATCAGTCTCTGAAGTGTGTGTCTAAAGTGAAAGATTTGGGTGTTATTTTAGACGAGAGATTATCTTTTATTGATCACATAAATTCGGTTGCAGTAAGGACTTCGAAGATGTTGGGTTTCGTCGTGAGAAACTGTCAATGCTTCTCTGTGGAGGCTACCAGGGTTGTCTACTGCTCCTTGGTAAGGTCAACATTGGAATATTGCTCTGTGGTGCGGTCACCATATTTTCAGATTCATATGGATTCTTTGGAGAGGGTGCAACATAAATTTCTTAGAGTGTGTGCGTTTAAAAATGGCTTTGCTATGGCTGACCACGACTATAGAGCACTAGAACAACAATTGTCATTGAGTCTTCTGGGCCTTCGTAGAGATAGTTTTGGTGTAGCATTTATATACAAATTAGTACATGGGTTAATTGACTGCCCAAGTCTCCTTTCTTCAGTTAGTTTTAATGTACCCACTAGGGGGCTGCGGCAACACCCTTAAAAACTTACGTGAAGAATATGTGATATTTTTTGTATAACAGGGTCAATTCTGGTTTGTGTATTATTTGTTGTACCTACCTAATTCTATTTTATATGTTTCCATATGTTAACTACTCATTATCAAGATCAAGATATTGTTCATAATACCTACATACTTTTACTAATACCTACATACTTTTACTAATACCTACTTACTTAAAAGATGATTTTTGGCTGTACTTAATATGTTTTATATTATTGCGTAGTATAATTTTTGTAGTTAAATAATATTTATTATTTATGTAGTTATAGTTATAATAATATAGTACCTAACTTATGCTTTATTCTTTATATTTTTTCTTAAATTGTATTTTAACAGTTAATGGGGTTTTCCCGTAAATAAATAAATAAATAAATAAAAGATAGGTAGGACATGTTTCATGAAAAACACTTAGAATTTTATCAGAAATCTGACAATGTAAAAAAAACTAGGGGTGTCCATTTAAAAAAATTAAGTTACTACCTGTCTGTCCAGCTTTTCTGCGACCACCCTGTATAATAATTTTATTTTATAAAAAATCCTCGACAAAAAATAAAATTGACGTGTTCGAGGATTTTTGAAAAAATTGCTCGGAAGAATAATTATTGAATTTATTCCTTACTTTACGCCCTCACTGTATGTAATGAGATACAAAAAAAAAACAAATTTTATATTACAAAAAAAATCTTGTGCAGCGCCGTACACGTGGTAGAAGTGAAACAAAAACTATCCCCCCCTCATGCAACTTTTAGACTGCGTATGAGTCAGGGTAAAGACGAAGGTCCACGCAACTGGAGACCCGCATCTGTATTTATGTCGCAAGGGTATCGGCGCTTGACAATGATAGACAATGGCATGTAATATTGACAGTTGAGTTGAAGAGGGCGCTTCTGTACTTGGAGCTTTTTAAATTTTGGCGCGTAAATAATCGAATGAAGTTTTAACCTCAAAAGGCAAGTTTGATGTGTGGTTTCAACACAAGCTGACGCTGAAAATAATCTTTAAGGACCACTGAACGTTTTGAAAGATATTTTAACTTATTCACTGTTCATTGTTCAAATGTAGTCATCTTTCCTTCTACTTATTAAAACGGTTTAAAACTATTGACATTTACCGCCAAAATTCAAAGGACTTCAAGTTCACTCACGCCCTCTACAAAATTTCGGGGAACTTAACTGGATATTTGCTGCCATTCTCTTGGCTTATAATATTTGGTTTGTGTCGATCACAAAACATCAATCGTTCGTCGCTTGTCATTGTCATTGGTTGTCTTATTTGCCCGCGGGGCGTTTTTCAAATCACTCTCCAGTCTCCATTGTCGTCCAAATATCAGACCGCCGCATAAAGGCTGGGACACACTTTTCATATACCCCGCCGATCCGATTCCGGTCCGATTTTTCCTCAGGAATCGGATCAGTGCGGATCGGAACGGGGTGATCACATGAATTCCCATCAATTTTTTCCATTTTCAGTCATGCTCGAAGCCGTTTTACTTGCGATAAAAAAATTAAATGGAAAATATGAGATAGACGATCGATAGTTTGGCATTTCGACTTATCAGTGGACTTTTCAAAATAAATATACAAAAATTAAACTCAATTCGACAGACTGCTTTAGAAACATCCCCATTTTGCTTGACAAGGGTATTATGCCGAAACGACCCATCGGACCGGTCCCAAATTTGGGCTCAATAAAGCCTGCCTCATCTACTATGTATGTGTAAAAAATTAATTCTCTAGCATGAAAATTTAAAAAGTTAGGAATTTTTTATGAAAATCTCTTTTTTTGGGGGAAAAAAATCATTTCTCGAAGACTAAAAGACCTACAGGGTTGTATGATGGCTCATTTTAAAGCTTGTTCAATGCTCTAAAACTATTGCCACAGTAGCAAAACCATCCGATCCTCAGTTTTTGAAATACAGTGAAATAAACAAAAAAAAGCCCTATTTTTGCACTAAATATTGTTTATAAAATCCCCTAAAATTAATTAGATGTTGCATTTTTGGTTTTTAGCATCTATAAGTGATCCTTAACAATATTGCATCGATAGTTTGCTGCTTGGTTTGATGTTAAATTTTATATTACAATATGGCTGTTATTTCGCTAAGTGCCTTGGCCTATTTTTTTAAAATAAAGATATTCTGATTCTGATTCAGGATTCCCAAAAGCAGGCACCACACAAGTATCAAGTATCGCACTGCCTTGATCAACTACCGAGTTAACTACCTATGTCTCCTTAATAATAATAAGGAGACAATTATTGTGCCAAAGATTAATTTGAAAATTTTAAGCAATCACAAAAATCAAGTTGTATTTCCTGTTCAGGTAGATCTTTTTAGTCTAACTTTTTAAAACAGCTGATGGTTTTTTTTTTAATAAGACATAGGTTTTATATCTTTGTTTTAGTATTTCACATTTTTGTTTGTGTCTCCTTTTCAACTACATACTCAATTACTTACTATTTTTTGGTTTGTAAAAGAATAAATAAATAACAAATACATACATACCTTTTCAACAATTCCCAAATTTCCTTTATGCATAACATCTTTAATTATTTGACCAGCTCTCGAAGCAGCTGATACAGAAGACGCTAGTAGTCTTAGAATCAAGGGTGCACTTTGAGACATATTTTTTTTAATAATCTGTAACTTTTATAATAATTATGTTATCACCTTACTGGGCAAGGGTTTATCTGTATTGGTTTATCATGCACAACAGTTTAGACGGATATTAAATTCTAAACTAATACCTGAGATAAAAAGGGACAATGAAATTATTTGGCAAATAAAAACGATAAAACAATATTTCAATTTAATTACAGGGTTCAATGACTACGTTTATCTCGTAAAATCCTGATCCGATCGACTTGATCAGATCCAGTGAATCTTCGTTTCTCTCATAAAATGAATTATCCGATTCATAAATCCTTTTTTTCCATCGGATATAAATAAAAAGAGACCGGTTGAATTAGACAAAGCAAAAAAATCTTCTTTTTTATTAAATTTGTAGCAAATTCTCATGAGAGGGGAAAGGGGAAAGCAGTTTCTGATTTTTACATAAAAAGAAGATGCATTTTCATGCAATGACAATATACACTTTAACCTAAATTTGGAATTTTGGCGGGTCCTTTGCCTTTGTCTAGGTTGTATTTTATAACGATTTTATTAACGATCGCGTTCTTTCGGTGCTTAATTTAGTGGCAAAATGAAATCGACAACAAAAAATAAACTTGTTGCCGCATGCTTTTTATTTATTTTGTTGCTACAAAGGCAACATGAAAATAATAGATTGGCTGCAATAAGTGCAATTACAAGAAGAAGACAGCGTAACTTTACCAGGTAAGTCAGGGCATTTTGTTTCAGTACACCTATTATTGGTCTATTGAATACCTATTTTTTTTTGGCAAAAATAATATAAACTTAATTTGTTTGCAGGAATCTGGCTTTTATTTCAAACATGAAAAATAGGAAACCAAGGAGAAAAAACAAAATTCGGAGTTTTCATTGGTGGGAAGAAGTCGTACTAAGAAACAAATTATCTGAAGAAGAATGGTTGGAAAATTTCAGGGTTTCACAAAACACATTTATGTATTTATGTGACCAACTGAGAGAAGTTTTAGCTCCTCAGCCTAATATTTTAAGTCAGTATTGGAAGTATGCCAAATTAATGACAGTAGAGAAGAAAGTAGCTGTGAGTCTATATTTCTTGGCTAGCTGTGCAGAATACAGAGTGATTGGGAACCAGTTTGGGATCCAAAAGTCCACTGTCTGCAAAGTGGTGTACCAGTTTGTCAATGCAGTGAATAAAATATTGACACCAAAACATATTAGATTCCCCAACTCTGCAGAGGCAAAACAATCGGCAAGCCTATTTCAGCACAAAAGTAAAATCCCCAATATTATAGGAGCAATTGATGGCACTCACATTCCCATATTACCGCCATCTGAGGGATATAGGGATTTTATAAATAGAAAAGGTTGGGCATCATGGATTCTGCAGGGTATTGTGGATGCAAAATATAAATTCATAGATATTTCCATCAAACAGCCAGGGAGAAGTCATGATTTTGCAGCTCTTTTGGCATCAAATATTTATAAAAATATTGATAAACTGCTTCCAAAGGTAAGATCTTGTGTTAAATTAAAGATGATTCCTTAAATACCTAACAGTCTTTTTCAATTAAATCAGTGATAAGCAATCTAAAATTATTTAATTGAATATTCAAGTATTTAGGCATTATAGAAAATTACAGCTGCTCGCTGTGTGAAAAGTGGATGCTATGTACACCTATCTTTGTATACATAGCATGCTACTAATGTTTATGTCCAATTTAAAAAAATATTCATCATTTATCTCAAAATAAATCTACTTCTAGGAAACAGTTTCTGTGAATGGAGAAGATCTGCCATATGTGATTATTGGAGATCCAGCCTATCCTCTTTTACCTTGGCTACTGAAAAGTTATTCTGGGCCTAATCTCACACCTATTGAAGAATCTTTCAATGTCCACATGAATTCTGCCAGAGTCGCAATAGAGATTGCTTTTGGTCGCCTAAAGGCAAGATGGAGGTGTTTGATGAAACGCAATGACATGCACTTTTCATTTGTACCCAAGGTAATAGCCACTTGTTGCACTCTCCATAATATTGTGGAAACATTCGAGGATAAATTTATGGAAAATTGGACTACAGCTGTGGAAGAGCTGGAGTTGACATTTGAACAGCCAGGTATTCGCCAGTGTCCAACTTACCATGAGTTTGAAGGGTATATCTCCCGAATATGCATTAGCGAATATTTAGCACAGAACTTTCCATTGCGTCGAACCATGCTATAGTGTCAAAAGTGTTGGTTAATTTTTATACAGGGTGTCTGGAAAATAGTGTAAAAGCTCTCCACTACGTAGTAGGGAATCCTTTGAGTAACCCTAGAAAAATAATTAGAAAAATCCTCCTCGTCCATTCTGGGTAATATGAAGAGGTAAATGTGGAATGTGGATGGAATGTTTTTTTGTTTCATATCCTTTAATGATTTACCTATAAAAATTGTTGTTAACCTTTAAAACGCATTATGAAAATTGCAAAATCTCTAATGCCACTAGATTTTTCGAATTATTTTTCTGGGGTTCTTTGAAGGGTCCTCCACCACTCTGAATAGTTTTTACACTATTTTCCGGACACCCTGTATATTATATGTAGATAATATTTCAAAACGCGCTATTTGTGTAAGGTTGGATATTGGGAGCATTGCAAGCCACTATTTTTAAAACATAAAATACTTACAGTATGCTGTATATTTATCATGGAAACTGCTTGCCTTATGCACAAAAAACATTATGATGAGTTAGAATATCCAAGAACTTATCCAACTAGGCAACTTCTTAAAATTCAGCTCCCTATACCCAAGACTGCATTGACGCAAAATTCACTAATTTATAAAAGTAGGCAAATTTTTAATCATCTGCCTGTTAACTTAAGGCAGATAGGTGCTTTTAAAAAGTTTAGACTAGAGCTCAAAACATCTTTACATGGAAAAGCCTACTATCACATTAGTGAATTTTTAAATGAAAAATTTTAATTTTGCTCGTTTCATTGTTTTGTTTTGTTCTGACCGCAACCTTTATGTTTTTTCTGTATTGGCTGTACCTTCTATATGACTCTATAGTTTGATGTAGTAAAAATTGTACATGTGTTGCTTAGGATTGTGCTTTGAAATTTATGTTTATGTTTATTTTTTATTTTATTGATTGTAAAATCTGTTTTTTTTTTTTAAAGATAAAAGTCAAAATGACATTGTGTTGGCAATACAATGTAAAATTGTCAAAACTTTCAAATTTTTTATGTAGAAAAGGCTTGTGTTGCCAGCATAGTTACTAAATTTTTGACTTGGGGAATTATCTTTAAAAAAAAAAACAGACCTTACCTCTTTTTTTTTATAACCCAATAATTTTTAATTACTTGCACATTATTTAAGATCATGCTTTGTCAATGAAATTTATTTTCCGACAATAAATTATATTTTGATTGATTGATTGAAACACAAAAATCGTAATTTTTCAAAATATGTATGTATTAATAAGAAATAAAATAAGTTCTTTTTATGCTTTTTTTATTGAACCATAACTACCAAAGGAAAACTTGTTAACAAAATCACAGAAAAAAAATTAAACTCTACTTTTATCCTAACTCAATTCTTAAAAAACTAATAAACACAAAAACATGATTTTCAAAATAAACAGTACTTATCTCTTTGGTCAAAATCAAACTAAATTAATCTCTCTAAACTGAAAATAAATATTTAACAAAAAATTTGGGAAACATTACCAACAAGCTAAATTTCTGAAAACAGATTTGTTTTCACATTCTTGCACTAATTTCTTAAAAATGAAATAGGGTGAAAAAAATATACCTACTTTGTTTAATTAAAATGCTAAAACACATTATATAAAAATCTAGCTTGTTGGTAATTTTTTCAAAGAATAAAAACTAATCCTCATCTGAGTCCTCAGCACTGCTGGTAACTTCATATTTTCTTTTCTTTTCTTTGCCTTTCATTATTTTTTCTAATCCAGATAGGAACATTTTTGTACAGTTGAGCATCATTTGTTCAGATCGGTTTGACAACCGATCTAAAAGCTCTCTGTCCTTTTCTGCATCTTCTTTCCTATTATTATCTAGCGTTTCTAATAGTAATTGTTGTTGAGTCTTTTTCGAATCTCTGTTCTTTTTTATAACATTTTTTGATATTTTTGGCGTGGTTGTAGGTAAGTTATCCTTAACAGTAGTTTTTGGAGTGTCTGGGTCCTTAGAGCAACCAGGTATTGCCCCATCTATGTCAGGAGCATCTTCGTACATTTCAATATGCACATTTGGTTCGATTCTGTTGATAATATCAGGGTCATTTTCATCAACAACTAAAACTAAACATTTACACATTATGAGCACGCGGCCAGTAATAATTATGCATCTTTCTTTTGTTAAGATAAGGTCAATGTGAACTTTATTTAAAAAATTAATAGTAATAATTATTGAGGGTAATGTAATGGTGAAGTCTCACTCACCTGGCACTTCGGTTATACTCTGAAAACCCATAGATTGATCACCATCCACTTGGGATAAGGGACGATTTCCTAGAAGATTATCCAACTCGGCGTAAAAATCACACTGAATATAATCATTACCGCTAATAGCATTGTGTCGTTTACATCTGTAGTAGTCAGCTAAAATCAAAGTATTTAATGCTTCTCGGTTAGGTACGCATGGTAACGGAAACTGCACAAAGCAGGACCAAAAATAATAAAAATTGAAATTAAAATATAATAAATTATTTAATGAATATTATACTAACCTTTTAAATTTTTATATTTAACGGACAATTGGTTTACATCCCTGATGAACCCCCTTTCTTTCATGGGTGCAATTAGAGTTTTAAAAATATCGGAAACTCTAATGCGTTTCCCATCCATTAGGCCTAGTACCTGTTTTTCTTCTATCAAGGACAAGAAAAAACGTACTTCTTCAGAAGTCCAAATGTTTCTTTTTCGCAGTTTAACTGTTTTTTGAAGAAGAGAACTCATATTTTCAAAAATTTACTTTTTACACTTCATAACAATAACAAGAAAATAAATAACAAAAAGTCAGGTTAGGGTTAGAGGTGTTTACCATTTTTCAGGTCAGCTGACAAGTGTCATTTGAATCGCGTTTCTGTCGTAAAAAGGAAGGATTTCGATCCGGATTAGAAAGTCCAATCCGATTGAAAAACAGGATTGATTTAAAGACTTCCATCCGATTCAAAATCAGGCGTCAGCGTTTATCTCGCTCTTTTCAAGTGGATGGAGTTTCTATCGGATGCATTAGATCCGATCGAACGGCCCGAGATAAACGTGGTCATTGAGCAAATATTAGATTAGTCACATTTTAAATTGCACTTTTCCTTGAAATATTGTAAGTTCCTTATTGAATAATATTAAATAAATCGAATTTAAATATTTATCATGAGGATAAAAAAAATTACCTTGTCGATTATCTTATTATATTTTTATTCACTTATTTTTTGTATTTACAAGCAAAATAGTTTACATGGTTTATTATTTATTTTGATGAGTGAAAAAAATTTAAAATTCAACACGACATAACATAACCTGACTGATTTTTAATTTTTTTTTTCTTCTTTTTCCTATGATGGTCCCAATAGTTGTATTCCTTTCAAGAGTTTGAAACACTCGAGCTACTCGCTCCGGTGCTTCGAAGCCCCCGATTTGCAGGGAACAGATGCGTGGTGCAACAAACACTTTTCGAAAGGAATAGGGGCGTGAAGCCCCGGAGCTCCTCCTAGGTGTGAAAGGAATACAACTAATGAACTATAACCAAAAACTGGAATGCGAGCACATATTGACGAATGTGAAGCCTAGTGCCGCTGTTTTTGTCGCACTCATTATGTTAAATGGCGGAAATTGCTTCCAACACGTATTCCAATTGATGAAACCTGTGAAGGTAAATATGAAAAAACTTTCCAAAATATCATATGTCAGCGAGCAACAGAAAAAAACAACATTCCCCTTTATGGCATCTGTCTCTCATGGCTACATTTTTTTGGCAGATATGGCAATGTGTGCGCATTCCAGTTTTTGACCATAGTTCATTGGATGGTCCTTTGTAGGGCCGGTTTCTCAATACTTGTATTTCTTTTACACCTAGGAGGAGCTCCGGAACAGCTACCTCAATTACTGTATTCCTTTTACCCGTTGAGTGACTCGGAGCTGCTCAATGTCAAAAGCTTGAACGTTCCTTTTAAAAGTGCGTTAAGCACTCGAGTCTCGAGTCGCTCATAGTGCATCCCCCTTTCCCCTGATGCACCAAATTTGCGGGGGGTGCAAGAAGCCCTTTCAGGTAATGACGGTAATAGAGAGTTATTGGACGTTCAATAAAAGCAAGCAGTATTTACATTAGCGTTATTTTGACATCTACACATGCGCATTTGGGTCTGAAAATAAGGATTCCCTTAATAAGGTTACTGCTTGTCTTTATTTGTGTGTGGTTAGTGCGAGGCAGTAAACTTCCCTTATTTTAAATTTTTGATATTCTGGACGACTTTGACGTTTTGCTTTTTGACGATGACGCAATTTTACTTAGAAAATTTATTTTTTACAATAGTTTTCCATTTTACTGTGGGTAACATCAAAAAATGAGTATCAGTAGAAAATCACAAACAAAAATAAACACTTTTTGAAGCTGAAATTTATAAACCTAGCTATCATCTGTCAAAATTATGAATACAAAATAAGGCAATACTCTAGCACCTACTATAGTCTTCCAATAACTGTTTTTTTCTTGGAAAAATAATGCTGATGCACTTATAAAATAACGTAGATCCTTAATACTGCGAGGCAGTATTTAATAGTTCCAATAACTCTCTATTGTTAATATTAAAAAATAATGATAAAATCTGAATTGTGTGTTTTGGAGTGACTCCGAGGAGCTCGTTAGGTGTAACTTGGTTCCTTTCAAATCGGGGTCTTTTAACACCGGAGCGAGTAGCTCAAGTGTTTCAAACTCCGGTGTTATGTTGACCCCGATTTGAAAGGAACACATGCGCTGGCTTCAGTCAGTGGCTGGCTTTCCATGCTTTTCGAAAATAATAAGCGCGTAACGCCCCGGAGTTGTTCCGGAGCTCCTCCTAGGAGTGAAAGGAATACAACTATCGAGAAACCTGCCCTAAGCGCGGTTACCTCCGGGTGGGTTTTAGCTCCAGGGTGAACATGTCCAGTTGCAATGTTTACCTTAGGGCCGGTTTCTCAATAGCGAGTCGCCTTTGGGTTGGTTTCAACTCCAGGGTAAACGAGTCAGTTGCAACTCTTATCCTTATTTGTTGTGATAACATGACAAGACCACCTGTTGGCCAGCAGGGATGGTAATCTACTGGAGGCGGATCTTGCTTGGTAGGGAATAGGGATGCATCAGTGTAAAGGGACCCGCAGAGCCGCTTCTCGTCTGAACTCGTCATTGACTTAGCAAAATAATGAAGAAATACGCACGAATGCAATTCTTTCATTTATCAGAGCAGCGCGCGTTCTACATGTTTCACGTTGCCGTTGCCAGCAGTTCGTTTTTACTCTTGGAACTTCAGTTTTGTGAAAGCAGAGTCATAACAGGATAAAATCCAATCCGTAACAGTTTGGCGACCTAATTGGATTGGATAAATTGGAGGTGGATCGCTCTCTTTAAACCTAGTACTTATAACCGTTTTTTTTTTTGACATTGCTTCGACAATTTGACGTTTGATTCACGCATAAAATGTTAACTTGTTGAAGCAATGCAGGGATGTGCGTCTACACGTAGACTTTTATTGTCTACTTTACGTGTAGATAATCACGTACAATAGTAATTAACCTCACACTGTCCTTTTCTAAAATAATTTTTATTTTATTATCGGTTTTCCTCATATTTATAATCAGTGAATGCTGATATTGAAGTGATAGGTATTAGCTACTAAGGTAGTAGTCATTTCGGATCTTTTTTTTGAATTTCCCAAAATAATTTTATTGTTTACGCCACATGTAGACAGTTGACAAATGCCCACGTAAACAATTCGAATTGTCTACGCGTAGACAATCAATTGTTTACGTTGACATTGTATACAGGCACATCACTGAGCAATGTCAAAAAAGAGCGAATTTCGCATTTATGAGCATTTTGCCTTTGCCTCATTCTTACTTGCACGAAATTCGCTCTTTTTTTGACATTGCTTCGACAATTTTATGTTTTATGCGTGTATCAAACGTCAAATTTTCGAAGCACTGTCAAAAAAGAGCGAATTTCGCGCAAGTGAGAATTAAACTTGGGCTTTAGATGTTGACGACACATTTTGTTTACTGTAGCAAGCGTTAATTATGGTGGCCGTTTCTTCCACCAACTATTTTAGGGGAGCCTTAACCAATGGCCTTAACGATAAGTATTTTCTAAAATGACAATAGAGAGTTATTGGACGTGCAATAAGGACAAGCAATATTTAAATTAGCCTTATTTTGACATCTACGCATGCGCATTTGGGTCTGAAAATAAGAATTCCCTTAATAAGGTTACTGCTCTGCTTGTCAAAGGACCCCGCAATATTTAAATGGAAATTGGTTACCCGTGATATTTGGATGAAATTTAAATATGTTATTGCGGATGCCGTAAGCAACATTTTTTACCATGGGCACAACCCTGTATATATGACAGGTGAGGCGTGGTTAGCTGTCAAATATTGGAATCTGATATCCAATAGCAGATTAACTATGGCGGATTTTGATGAACAAAAAATCTATTTCTACTAAGTCGACCAAGTTAAGTCGAAAAATGTCAACCGTTTCAACACCTGTCAAAACCCTGCCGAATGACAGCACTCATCTTTTCCAGTTTTTAATATTTTATGTTGTCATTTGACATTTTTAACTTATATGTAAAGTCTGAATTCAAAAATTGAAGAAAAAAAATGACAGCTGTCAAAATGTGACGTGCATGAACTTTGTTCAATGTTTTATCACCAATAAACTACCTTAAAACGAGAAAGGACCAGATTAGAGTATTTTTTTTCTATTGAAACAAATGACAAGTTTTGACAGTTCTGTCTTTTTTTTTTCAATTTATGAATTTAGAATTTACATATAAGTTAAAAATGTCAAATGACAACATAAAATATTGAAAACTGGAAAAGATGAGTGCTGCCGTTTGGCAAGGTTTTGACAGGTGTTAAAATGGTTGACATTTTTCGACTTAACTTGGTCGACTTAGTAGAAATAGATTTTTTGTTCATCAAAATCTGCAATAGTTACTCTGCTTTTGGATATAAGATTCCAATATTTGACAGCTAACCCCGCCTCACCTGTCATATATACAGGGTTGTGCCTATGGTAAAAAATGTTGCTTACGGCATCCCCAATAACATATTTAAATTTCACCCAAATATCACGGGTAACCAATTTCCATTTAAATATTGCGGGGTCCTTTGTGTATGGTTAGTGAGAGGCAGTACACTTCCCTTATTTCAAATTTCTGACATTTTGAACGACTTTGACGTTTTGCTTTTCGACGGTGACGTAATTTTACTTAGAAAATTTATTTTTACAATAGTTTTCCATTTTACTGTGGGTAACATCAAAAAATGAGTATCAGCAGAAAATCCCAACAAAAAAAAAAACACTTTTTGAGGCAGAAATTTATAAACATCTGTCAAAATTATGAATACAAAATAATGTAATACTTAACACCTACTCCAGTCTTCCAATAACTGTTTTTTTCTTGGAAAAATAGTACTGATACACTAATAAAAATAACGTAGATCCTTAATACTGCGAGGCAGTATTTAATAGTTCCAATAACTCTCTAATATCACATGGAGAAATGATACTTTAAGGAATAATCGCTAAGGCTCCCCTAAAATAGTTGCTGGAAACCAAGGAGAATACATAATACTCTAAGAAGCAGTGCTTATCGGCCTCGTTTTTGGTAACCGCTACCATATTGGTGTGCAACCATGGCCGACGTCATCAGCTGTTTAAACAGCCTACGTCAAGGCGAGAAATAAGCAGCATGTTATTCACAACTGGTTGTTTGGCGTAGGGGGGAAGGAGGGATTTGTTGCACACAGGCCCTATGAGGATATGCCATATGCCATCCTGTAGTAGTAGTGTGTTTCATCCTTGGGTGGAAATAGCCGTTTCTCTCTTAAAAATAAAATGGTCGGTGCAAACCAAGGATAATACACACTTCTACTACATGATAGCTTATCCTCATAAGGCCTGTGTAGATCAAATCTTAAGCCCCCCACCACGACAAAGCATCAGTGATGACGTAGCAGTGTGTCGTTTCTTGCCTTAACCTAGGGTGTTTACGATTCCACAGGCTTTTGCTATGCGTACTTGGTTTTAGAGTACATTAATTAACATTCTAAAACAGCGCTTTTTTGATCTTGTTTGCACTTCCTCTTTGCATATTATGTAATCAAAATTAAATTATATTTTTCATCATAAATGTATATTCTAAATTGCGGCCACACATGGGCCAAAAAAAACAAAAAAATATCTAGTTTCTGCCTGATTTAATAGTTTAGGTAGGTACCTGGTCAACAATCTTTTTATAAAATAATCAAAATCAAAGTTGCAAGCAAAACTCTAAGCAAAAAACTTGCTTGGCCGCCACGCCATATTGAATTTTCTTTTTTGACAGATGGATTGGATTGCCTAATATGGCGGTGATTCTCAAAAACGAGGCTGATAAGCAATCCTCCTTTGCAGGTGAGCGCTTTAAGACATTTAAAAAATAAAAAATCTCCAGTGGAAGACCACATAACCGTAGAGATGCTAAAACTGGGAGGCAACGAACTTATGAACCATGTCAAAACGCTACTCAATAAATGCCTCTCAGAAGGAAAAATACCAAAAATATGGCAAAATGCAGAAGTGACACTTCTATTTAAAAAATGAGATAACACGATTATAGAGAATTATCGTCCTATCAGCCTGCTTTCTCAGTTTGAAATTCATTTTCGAAAATGTGAAATTAGATTCCGTTTATGCGAAATTAGTTTTCATTACGTTGAAATCAATTTTCATATGAGTGAAATTAGATTTCACTGATGTGAATTTAGTTTTCATGAATTTGAAATAAAACTTCATTAGTGTGAAATAATGCTGGAAATGGTATAGAGGTAAGTTTTTCTGCCCTGCCTCTTCCCATGCACATCCGGGTTCAATCTCTGTCTGGGCTAATGTCAATGGTAATATTTGAAATTTGGTATAAGCAAGAACGCCATCTTTCGGAAAGTGATATAAAACTGTTGGTCCCATGTATCAGTAATATGATGCACAAAAAAGATGCCTACCATCAACAAAGATGGATTTGGCAAAATTTCCAGATGGGGTGTGACATTCTATTTCTATGTAAAATAGATTTAAAATGCATATTAAGTTGTTACTTAATCTTTTTATTTTAAAAATAACCCATACAACGTTGATTCTAACAAGAATATAAATTATTTTAAATATATTTAAAAAAGGGCAGCGTTGTGTGGTTCCAAAAAAAGGGGTATCGCAAAACTATCCAACCCCAAGTTAATAAAAACCACATAAGGCCAGTTTCTGTATCATAACTTTCATAACCATTCCAATCCAGGTGGTTCTTCTCTTCTCTTACAGTTCAATATCTTTTATAGATCTGAGACAAATGCATCAGAAATATGAAAACTATGTAGCTAATTTTAATAAAAAATGCTAGAAAGTGGGCATAAATCAAACTTCTAAATGACTATAAACAATTAAACCTAAGCCATTGATAAAGAAACTGACCCTCAAAGGTTTAAGAATTCCCTATAATAAAGACCTTTTTTTTTCCAAACCTGCAGTTAATATTTCAACTGCTAATTAAAAAAAAAAACAAGTACTTCTTGACAACATTTAAAAGTAACAAAGGATAAAAACTAAAGAATAATACTATTTATGCAATAATTATATAAAATAATAATAAAAAAATTATACAATATAAAAAAAAGAAGTCAATAATGCAAATAGCATTTCATAAAATATTATTTTTTTTCTTAATGTTAGTTCAGTAGTGAAGAAAAACAAAAGCTTAACAAAAATGCATTTAGTTTTGCCTCGAAAGTACTACAAAAGCAACAGGATTTGATTTTGTTTTTATTAATCCAAATATTGCACGAGAAAGTAGCACTTTTAAGGCTTTTTTCAATAAAGAATTGACTTTAGAGCTAAATTTCCTAAGCAACTTCAAATTAGATATACATTCGCATTGAAGTTTGTATCTAATTCGAATTAATTTACAGGGCGCCACAAAATCAAATTTAGAAAATAGGAAGCATTTTTAATTTTCATTACCCCATATATACATTTTTACGTTGAACATTTAATGTCCAGTATCTTAAAAGAAAAAAATGGGATTAGTATTATTAGGAATGAGATAAAAAGATAAAACATTGGGCGTCCACAAAGGAAAAATACAACCTTCACTTATTGGTTCTTACACAGAAATGCGGGACGCCTCATTTTTAAAATTATATACATAAGCGCACCATTTTTTTCTCTAAATCTATTTTAATTTAGCTTCACTGCAAACCAAATATACTCTGTATATGTATAGACATAAATATTTCCTTTCATAATACTTGGCATATAAAGAATTGGAAAAGGAAATAAGTAGACTTTTTTTTAAAATGTAGTATTAGTTTTTCTGGTAGAAGAGGGTAATATTATACAGTGTGCCCTAGGTGGGAAAATTCTTCAAGAAATCTATTCTAAGTGATATTAGATTGTCCCTACAAGAATTACCACGGGCACAAGGTATAATCCCAAATTGTCATAAAAAAACAACCTAAACTTTTGACTTAATTTTCAATATCCGATCATTGAGTTTTCAGTTCCTTTCCGATGCTGTAGGAAACAATTTTGTTCCAGTCGATTTTTGTACGTGTGACTGGCAATAATCTATTACAAACAAAAAAAATTATCACTCAATAAATGAATAATATAAGTCAATTCTTACCTTCTAAGAGCTTTAAAAGTCGTATCAGACATTGTATGGTAATTCTCCGAAATAGCAGTTTGATAAAGATTTTCCGCAGCCTCTATTGCCTGAACAATATCTTTAACAGTTTGTGCTTCAGTGGTAATGCTGACTGTGTCTTTTGTTTCCTTGGTGCTGACCAGTTGCACGTTACCTTCTTCATAGTAGTGGACTTGTACTTTGAGGACACCTCGTAGTTCGGCACCTGAGGTACCGTTTAGGGTTATGAACCATTGACTACGCCATCTACCTGGGAATTTTTCAGTTGTTAAATGTTGTTTATTATTCAAATATTTTAGTAAACATTAAGTACCCTTACTCAATGTAAGAAGATGCACTTTACATTAGGCTTTTTCATGGAATTAGAAAAGCTTTTAATGGAATTGCGAAAATAACAAAAGTCACAACTCAATCAATTAAAATAAAAACCCATAAAACTGTTATCATCATTTATGGCATTGTATATATTACTGATAAAAAATAATGAAATTACTAATTGCTGCATGGTCTTCTTATCAATATATTATCAAAAAAGATTACATTGAATTCTACTGGATCTATAAAATATATTCATAACACATTCCTATCATAAAAAAAATTAACTCTTTTTTTTTAACTTACCATTCCAGAAATTTTTGGGTTGAAACTGATGGTCCTCGATACATGCTGTCAAACTGACCACGCCCCCTTGGCTGCGCCCTATAACGCTGCATACACCATCTTTATAGTGATTTCTTGTGTATTGAATAAATTCTGTGTCGAGGGCAGACCGCCACGGTTCGGCTGTTGTATCCGGGCTGTAGGATTGGTAGTCGGACGCTTCTTTTCTGAGGTGGTCATAACGGAAACTTTGTTTGGAGCGGGGATCAAAAAACCTAGAAGAACAAATTGCATATAATCTAAATATATTATAAAGGACCCCGCACAAAACTTACGGAAAATGTGTTTATGTCAAATTATCTGATTTTTTGATAGTGTGTCAAGCTCGATATCCTGAATAAAAGTTATCATTGCGCCAAAGCCCAATAATGAACAGTTTTTGAAATAAACGCCCTTTTGTACTCTCACAAATATAGGTAAATCTTATAGAAAATGACATCAAAAAATTAATTACCTATACAGGTGAAAAATGCGCTGAAGCGTTTTCATTTTTTTAGAATCGGAATTGAACTGTATTGACAGCGTTTGACAGATAAAAATAGATAGGTGAATTCCAAAAAGTTCAGGTTTTCCCCACACTTTCCGCAACCGTAAATTGTTTTATAGTTTGATCCATTTTTCTTCCGATTCATAAAGTCTTTTTGATCATGGCAATGAGGAATATATTGCACTGTTTCATATGTCCTGCGGCACTTCCTCCCAGATTAATGGTGCGTCTTGTTGGAGATGAAAATGCCGATAAGTGTGCCATAGCTCAACAAAGGCGTCTAGCAAACATCAGGCCTATCATAGAAATCAATGAACTCACAAGAATTTGTGCCAGCTGCAACAGATCCATTATTAGGGAAATAAATGCTCTTCAGCGAGATCCCGCTTGTTTGCGGCTCAATGTTTTGATGCAAAGTTCAAGCCATTCGTGTCTCATTTGCAACTCACCAAATGAACCCCGATTATCTACCGAGGCCAGGGTGAATATCTTCCTTAATAAGGACATATATTGTTCCAGAATATGTCAAAAGTTGTGCTCACCATTTGAACGGAAACGGTTTTCTTCTGCAAAGACTTCTGTCAGGTTTGAGATTTGTAAACAGGCCCTACGTAATTCCAGGTCGAGAGTTGCAAAAGTTTTTGAAACACTTGAGAAATACAGCTAATGAACATCCCAAAATTGACAGCGAAGATTATTTTTCTGATGCAGACTTTGAAAGCATCGCCCCTATCACGAAAGTTCAGTTTAGAAGTTTATATGATCTTTGCGATCCTATACCGATAGAGAATGGTTATAGATATGTTGCCAGAAAAGATCTACTGGCCTTTTTGTGCAAAATGCGACAGGGATTGTCGGATAGTTTCGTTAAGGCTATTTTCAATTACAGAAGCCGTCAAACTGCAAGTCTCGCGATCGCAACCGTGAGGCAATCTCTATTACAAAGATTTGTACCTCAAAATATTGGTTTTACATGTACCTCCCTTTGCGAATATACTTTACAATGAGAATCCGGGCACCCCGAGAGTTATTGCATATAATGATGGCACATATTCCTATGTTCCCAAAAGCTCCAACTTCCAGACCCTGCGACAAACGTTTTCGATTCACAAAGGTCGTCATCTTGTGAAACCTACACTGATAGTAGCACCAGACGGGTATATTCTGGCAATACAAGGTCCCTATTTTGCCGACTCGCGAAATAATGATGCGGCTGTCCTACGAAATGAGTTTGAACGTGATGCCGAAAACATGAGGGAATGGTTCCAGAACGGCGACATTATTGTGCTTGATAGAGGGTATAGGGATTCAATCCCACTATTACAGGCGCTTGGCATCCAATATCGTATGCCTCGTGGTGTGGAGCGTGGACAACGCCAGTTGTCTACTGAGGATGCAAATGAATCCCGGTTGGTTACCAAAACCCGCTGGATTGTAGAAGCGCGAAATGGACACATTAAAAGCGTGTTCAAGTTTTTCAGCCAGACAATAAGCCTTCAGCATATACCACATTTAGGAGATTTTTACCGGATTGCGGGAGCTATAATTAATAGGTACCATCCCCTTATAGAAATGAATGGCTGCAATGCTGAGCTGGCTCAATCCATGTTGGAAAAAGCCGGTGAGGTTGATGTGGTTGAAGCTCGAGTTGAGCAATTTGGTCTGCAAGCGAGAAATGCTGCTTGGGAACGGCTGAATGACGGACAATTGGTGGACTTTCCGCGATTGAATATCGAGTATTTAAAAGATTTCACATTTGGTGTGTACCAAGTAACCCTAGCGCCGTCGTATATACAGGAAAAATTGCAACGAGATGGCGATGATGAATTGCAGGTAGATCAACTCGACCCAGAACCGGGATTTATTCGGGCCCGAATTTATTCCCGCTTCAGAAATGCTACTAAGTACCAAATATTGATTACTTATAGAACCGTTCAGGAACTACAGCAACATCCTGAACAAGTGGAAGAAGCAATTTTGGAACATTACTGCACTTGCAAATCTGGTGCAAGGACATTGGGTTGTTGTAGCCATATCGCAAGCTTGTTATGGTATTTGGGTTATGCGCGACATCAACCCAATGTGCACTATCCCCCAACAATCCTACTAGAAACGGTTATGGATGTTGGAAATCGACATCAGCCATAGTAATAAGTCAGCTCCATTTTTCCATTTTGATTATTGAAGATACTCATATAAACAAAAATTGTACTACCAATGAAATAGTGTTTTTTTGCTAGTCCAAAGCATTCTCCTGGAAGACCCAAAGCATTCTCCTGGAAGACCCAAAGCAACAGTGTTTTGATTCCACTTATCACCGCATTTTACACCTGTAGGTAATTAATTTTTTGATGTCATAGTCTATAAGATTTACCTATATTTGTGAGAGTACAAAAGGGCGTTTATTTCAAAAACTGTTCATTATTTGGCTTTGGCGCAATGATAACTTTTATTCAGGATATCGAGCTTGACACACTATCAAAAAATCAGACGATTTGACATAAACACATTTTCCGTAAGTTTTGTGCGGGGTCCTTTGTAATCATGTAGACACATCATTGGGATCGCGCAAATGATAAGAGATATAGGGTTGGTTGAACAAGGGCAATGTTACGTAATTTGATGCTTAACAAAATGCAGCTTTGATATTTAGGATATTCCAAATACTTCCGCTGCCTTATTCTCTAACTTGCGACCGCAGAGAATTGCGCGATAGTCGCTGTCAAACGCGAGTTTTCTATTCAAAAAAAGCAATTTGCGACCGGTTGCTGGTTGCTATGTAATTGCTGTTCGTAGAGAATAGGCCTGCAGGAGATATCTGGAAAAAAACAAAATTTTGGAAAATTGTTTTTATTTTTTCTTGACTTTATTTGAAGCTATTTCAAAAAATATATCAATTTATCATAGCCACTTTTTTTCTATACAAGATGCTACCGTCATATTTCAAATCTGACGTTTCGTCTTTGGCCCACCATCATCAACTCTATATTTTTGAATGTGACCTTATTGAAATTTACAAAATACTGAATTGTCACTATCCATATGACATTAACTTCTTCCTCGCCACCATTACCAGAGGACATAACCAAAACTTTGAGAAGGGAGGATGTAACAAGCTAATAAGAAGAAATTTCTTGACAAACAGAGTGGTTTGTGGAATAGACTTAGTCATAAGACAATTAGTGCAATATCAGTATCATCAGAATATACGAAAGGCCATACACTCCTGGTTTAATCAAAACTCAACCCGCATGCTTCCATACCCAGCATCATCGAGCCATGATATCTTTGGCCTGTTGAAATCACTATACCGATAAATATCGAGATTGAAGTATAACGCTTTTCAAAAATATACAACACAGAAGAACAATTTACAATACCTTTGGTGGTAAATAACAACAAGCTGCTCTATAGAACCTACATTGGATGACAAGTAATTCACACTTTAGGCTTTAATGAACTAGAATAAACATCTCACCATAAGTCCTGAGACTTATGCACACTTGTTTTTGTGAACCGATCACACGGGCGCTTTTTTTTATTCAGCGTGGATCCATCGGTAATCTGCCTATCTTTGTCTAGCTCATAGAAAATAGGAATATCTGTCTCATAGTGCTGGCAGCAGATGGATCCATTGCTGAATAAAAGAAAGCGCCCCACCTGAATATGATATGTATCCTGTAATCCTAGCTCACTTGTATCAATGTCTTATTGAGGAATGTCTCTGTTAAGGCCTTCAAACGTCGAGCTCAGCATAAAAACACCCACTTCTTGGCCTAATGACAAAGTAGGTAGAGTGTTTAGCACACGTAATTTTAATACATTCAGACAGTTGGCACATAATATAGATTGGGAAAATATTCGGAGTACCAGCAATCCTTTCGAAAACTTTCATGAGCCTGTAAAGAGTATTTTTAATCAAAGTTTCCCTCTTAGAAAAATGAAGACCAAGGCTAGAAAGGTATGGATAACACAGAGTTTGAAAGTCTCTGGGAGAAATCTTCGATCTCTGCATACTATTAGGAAGTTCATAAATTCGGAATGGTTCAATGATTATTTCAATCTTTACCGAAAAATTTATAAAACACTTATTAGGATAGCAAAAAGGCAATATTACAGTGGGCGCGTTAACGATGCAAACACGGATGCAAATAATGCTGTGAAGGAGTATTGAAGAATAATTAATGAACTTCGTGGAAAAACATATAAATCGACAAACAAAATACAAATTGAACCAGAGGAACTTAGTAACTTTTTCTGTTCCCTCGACTGTTCCATAACAAATAACTTAACGAAAAACTTAAATCCTGATCCGGTTACCTTCTTGGCGCCATTTTCAGTCAAAGGGTATTTTCATTTGTGGATGAACTAAAAAACATAATTAACGATGCCATTCTTATGTTTCTTGAAAATCTTTTTCTGGGATTAAATAATGGAGAAAGGGCCGCGGCAGTGTTCTGTGATTTCTCTGAGGCGTTTGACTGCGTGGATCACGGGATACTGCTGAGGAAACTTGATCACTGTAGTATTGGGGGGAAGGAATTGGATTGGTTTGGGTGGTACCTTGAGGGAAGAAGTCAGTTCGTTAGAGCACAAAACAAAAACTCTGAAAGAAAAAGAATAACTTATGGTGTACCTCAGGGATCTGTACTTGGACCAATACTTTTCTTAGTCTATATAAACGACTTGGCAGACCTGCCCATTGGAGGTATTTTTGTGATTTTCTGC